TCTGCCTGAGGCAACCATCTCGACTCTGCCTGAGGCAACCATCTCGACTCTGCCTGAGGCAACCATCTCGACTCTGCCTGAGGCAACCATCTCGACTCTGCCTGAGGCAAACATCTCGACTCTGCCTGAGGCAAACATCTCGACTCTGCCTGAGGCAAACATCTCGACTCTGCCTGAGGCAACAGCTGGCCTGCTTTAAGCTAGGCTTAGCAGCATTTCTCCTTACGGATGATGGACATGCGCTTGCGGTCCGAGTTGAAGTCCAGCAGCGCCAGCATCTCGTAGGTCGTCTCGTGTCCCATTTCCGAGATGGTGATGGTGTCTTGGGTACGAGAGAGAAAAACGAAGCCGAAGTTCCTGGCGGCAGTGACGAGAGCGCCCTCATCAGGTGACGCAGCCTGGTACACCAGGTCACCTGAAGACAGAAGACAGAAGTTAAGTCCGTTTGGTCCGGTCCGTCTCCTCGCATCTTCTCCATCCTCTTACCGTCGTTGTTGTCCACCATGACGGTGTGGCAGAGTGACAGAAGCTTGAAAAACTCCAGAGCGTCTTTGTCCTTCTTGGACTTGATCTTGGCGACCAGGAAGTGGTCCACAAACTCGAACTTCCTGTCAGCATAGTTGTTCCAGCCCCAGTCCACCGGCTAACAGGAAGGTTTCAGACAGAAGATCCAAAAGTTTTAGTGCTTTCATGACCAAATTGATTCAGAACCTGGACTTTCTGACAAAAGGCGGCGTCTCCTTCTGTTCTCCCATTTTCTGTTCCCATGTAGGAAGGAAAAAAGGCAAAGAGGACTCGTACCTTTATCTTGTCCAGCGATACTCCTTCAGCAGTGGTTGGGTCACCTGTAGGGAGAAGAGCAACAAGCTGGAATAAACCGGAGTAGCCGACCAGAACCATGGTTCTGATCCGTTCTGGTATCAACTGTAGACCATGATGGATGGATGGATGGACAGCGGATTCCGATCACGGCTCAGTCACTGGGACATGTCCCTGAACAGATGCCGACTCTTCTAATGGTGGGAACCAGCGGCGCCAAGCAGCCATTAGAGAAACAAACTATTAGATGAGCTGCTGTCCGAATGTGATGAGGGATTCATCGGGCGGTCAGCAGCGAGCCCTGAGATCACGCTTTGTTTAGGCTGAAAGCTGTCCAGCAGTTGTGCTGATTGGTGCTGTTGTGAGTTCGAAACCCACTCCCACAGACTGCCACTCTGAGTGAGACCGTTGCTCTGTACTCGTGAGATTGGAATAAAGCTGGAGATTTGTGTTTTATCCTGATAACGGAGGAAGAGAAGCAGCATCAAATTAATCACTATCAAAATAAACCCTGGATCAGTGACCGCGACCAAGGAGAGTCTGCCTCACATTCCGACACAAAGAAGCCATCAGATGACTTCATAGTCACGCCTCTTTGTTTTTAAAAGATATAAAAATCTAACGGTGGATGTCTGGGGGACAGTGATTGGCCTCCATGTT